TATAGCGCATTTATTTGGCGTGTCTAGGCGGCTTAGGTAATTTTAAATACCGAGAACTCGGAGATTTAATTTGAAATTGAATTGTCGTCGGCGAGAAAATCGTTTCGAATATTTCCACGTCGCCAAACGCACAGCCGTATTTCTCAATATCTTTATAACATGGGTACCTGCGCCTCTTTAAGTCATCGCCAAGTCGGGCCACCGCTCATTTTCCCATTCTCCGGTCGGTTAGATTAATGGCCGCGTCTCTCCGGCTGTCATCTCCTCTCTCTTCTTGCGTGTCTATACAACGGTTTTGCTGTAGGGAAAGACAATGATAGAGAGAGAGAGAGAGAGAGAGTAAGACATTATTCAATTACCGCTAAGGCCATAATTTGTTTCGTTTCTGGGATTCCGAAACCGATAAATCGTTTCCCCTCAGTCGCCAAAGTCCGACGGCCATGATTAGACAACCGCGAGCGATGCCACCAGCTGGTACACTCCAGGGAAATTCGGCTATCAAAAGACAACTTGTCGACAACTGCGTTTGTCGTCGCCGGATAAACGATGCCGGCCCGATAAATTATCATTATATACCACAGACCCGCGACGTCGTCGATGAAGCAAAACGGTAATTAATTGTATGTACTTTGTTCGTTGCGTCGATTCTCTTATTGTACAAGCCGTTTTATCGGTTAGAAAAAAAATAACCGAACACGTTCTCAGAGGTCGCCGCCTCACGTGCGCTATTTACGGTATAATAATCACACGAGTTGGTTTTCTCTCTAAGATTTTGCATAAAATTACCTCTACTTTTCTATTTCAAGTAGTCAGGTTCATTCATAAACTGCCGATTTTTTAAAAAAAATCCACTCCTTCCAAGTCAAGAAAAACCGCCTTGAAAATGATACATGCGAATAATCTTCAATATTTCTCAGTTTACCAAAAAAAAAAAACTAGTTTTAATTTTTAATGTTTTTAAAATCCCAAGCCCTCTCCTCCCCCTTCTCAAATCTAACCAAAAGTCATCGGCCAGATTACATAAGTCATAGGCATGTTGGCTGACACCGTTTAATTGCGACCCTTATAAGATGCCACGCCAAAACGGGTGGACCGAGATGGCCAAAACGGAACGTACCGAGGCCAAAAAAAGTTGATTGTCGCGAAAACGTATTGTATAGGTTTTTCCTCTTCTGCTATACTTCTTTGTTCCGTTGATGGCCCGCCGCCGATTAATTTATTAAACTTTGGCAGGACGCTGGCCAAATATCCGGTCCTTTCTCGCTCCTTTGAAAACCGAGAGAGGCAAAAAATACACACACACACATAAAATGAATTAAATCGATCCGTCCAAAGTGTAAATTAGGACTCTAGCCGTTTACGGATAGGCAAGGTAAGTGCTTTTGTCTGTAGCACGGGAGATCCGGTGCCAACAAATACCATAAAGTACCATAGGTACATATACTACCTACTACGTACACGCTTTAACCGTCCTTTTCTTCGATGAACCTTTTAGAATAATATCCGCCGTCGGACCTTTTGAATAAAAAAAAATAAAAAATACCTATCCGCTATCCTTGGTTTCCCCGTTCGGTTTTTTACAAACACCAGCAAGTGTCGATCCGTAATAATATATAAGACCGTCCGTGAATTATAATGCGGTCTAATGTTCAAACTTTAAAAGTGGTGTTTTTAAAAATAAGTATGTACTTCGAATTTATTACAAGCGTAAAATAAAAATATATACATTCGTTAATAACGCGTTGCATGTATAATTTGTTTTATAAGAGACATTCCTTTTGACCCAACCATTAATTTGTCATAATATTATTACAACTTACTTTTTGTAACGTCAAATTGTTTTATGTCTTCCGAGATACTTAGTATTTACTATTTATTTTTATTGTCGATAAAAAAAAAAAAAGACACTAATAACTATTTTTATTTTTATTTTGAAACGCGTTCAGAATTTGACGACTAAAACTTTATACAGACATGAATAAAAAAATTATGATATACTTAGATGGATTATCTTTACGCATACCTGCTACAAACATAAAAAAAAAAACACTGAACATTTTAGATTATTTTGCTTCGTTGCATAGCTAAGGAGGTATTTTTTATTCACAATAATGTTAAAAAATAAAGATTTTTTTTTAACCTTTTAGCTTCTACGTTTTAAGTTTTAACATAGATTACACCTTATTGTAAACATTACAACAGCTGTGTTTGTCTTAAGGCTTTAGCTGTACCCGTATATGCATACAATTTTACATTGAAAGGGCGTATCATGTTTCTCCTTATATTATGTTTACTATCTCGGTCGCAGTTATCCTGGACAATTAAGGCTGAATATTTGTCTGGACTTTTTAAATATTTTTTTCCCCAGAGATACCTAATTGAGCTGTTTAGTATTCTCGGAAGCATGGTTTATATAATAATAATTAATAATAAAGCTTACTCATACAAAAATTAAAAAACTATAAAAAATCATTTTTAAAGCTTTCAAACGGTTAACAGAAAACATTTGAGCAATTACATTTTATAAACCATACTTGTTAGTTTTTAATTGTTCACGGAATCTCTGGTCAATAAATCATAATTAATTATTTACATTTTTTAAAAATTATTTTAATTTTATTTATGTTTTGTAATGTATTGCGAAAAATGTTTGTTGTTGCTTGTGCGATTTTTAATGCTATATTTATTAGTATTGTTGATTTAAAGAACAATTTTATAGTTTTCATAATGACCAGTCTGTTCGCATGAGCCGTTTTTTTAAGATCAGTATATTATTGTGTTTTTGGTGTTAGTTCTAGACTACCAGTGTAAGATGGCGATGTCACTTATTTCGAAGGTCTAATCCATCGCGGACACACACATTATACAATAATATGGCGCTTCATACTGTTAAGCCATTTTTTACTGTATCGGTTTGGTACTTGTACGTTGTAGGGTTTGTCTGTGTATATAATATATATACACATTTGAGATAGGTACATGCTATGATATTTTCAGAGGAATGGTCTCTGTTTTCTTGTATCCCCCGTAAGTGTAGTGTTTTGTCAAACTGTCAAAGCCCACGAGATTGTGTACGGAAACAACAACGGGAAAGAGGGAAAAAATATGTCTGACTGGTTGATATTATTATTATATAGGTATGTGTGTGTGTGTGTATTTCGGTCTGTCGAGGCGTATGGAAGGGTCGGTGTATATTATGGCTTTGGTCTGCCTCGGGGTCCAATGGATGCAATCAATTTCCTGGGGCGATGACGGCCAAAAGGCAATTGTCATAAGCCGCATCTTATAACGCTGTGTGTGTGTGTAAACTATTATTATGTATCTGCCCATCGGCCTATTTCTTAGTATTTCACAGTAACATTATTTTCGTTTTACCCTAGCACACACACATATATATATATATAAATAAATGTATAGGTATACATGTGTGTAGTTTTGCCGGAGCTCGTTTCGGAGAACTACCTTCTTGTGATAAAATAAGGTGAGAAGTTTCTCCGGTTTTATATTTTATAATAATAGTATAAGACCGAAGGACAAGCGCGGAAAAAAGAGGAGAACCGAATGAAACTTTTAAAGGAGGCGTTCGGTGTTGAATACCGCGATTTATTTCCCAGATAACGTTTGCCGGGGTTATCCCGGCACGCCCGTTTAAGCGGGGGGCATTATCCATTCTTATCGGATGCCTGGGATTTTCCACGACTAGGATTTCTAACTTATTAGCACCTTTATCGCGCGGTTTAAAAGGATGAAATTTGTATAATGGAAGGGATTATATTGCGTTTCGTATGCACCACCCGTCAACCCCTATTTTGAACCGCGACCTGGTTGTCGGGGCCTTTTCGTGTCGTCACTCCGCACAAAGGTCGTTCCTCATTATTTACTTTCCGGTCGGCTTTGCCGTTAAGTCTCTCTCCCTCTCTCTCTCACTCTTTCCCTCTTTCTCTATTTCTCTCCTCTCTCTTAACTATCTCTCCGACTTCGTACGGTAATGGTTCATCGTTGGGTTAACATAAAATTACTGAAAACCGTGCAGTTTGTCTGGCATAAATTCCCTGCTTTCTAATTGGTGTGTGTGTGTGTCCTGTACTTGATCCTGTATCCGATTTATACAATTTTTTTATATTGAAAAGATCACCCCTTTTCTCTTTGAAATCGAAAAAACATGTACACGTAAAAATAAGGCGCGCTACAAATTTTTTTTTTTTTTAAATAGTCTAGTTAGTTCCAAATTTGTACGGAACTAATATTATTTAGTTGACAAACCGATAAAATATACATGTAAACCCTTTTCTCATCCCATAGGAGTGGAAAATTTTTCTTTATTTCGTTGTTTAGCCGTAGTTATAGAGCTATTCCGTTTTTTTCGTTTCTATAATAGAATTTTCTCTTATTATAACCAAAATATTTCAGAGTAGTGTAGTTGCTGTTGAGAAATTATGCATATTGTATTTTTTAGCTGAGAAGGTATTATTTTTACAATGATTTGTTTTTTTATTTATGTATCTGCAACTCTATAGATCAGAAATGGCCCAGAAAAATACTTTATTAGCCCAAAAAAGTTTCTCCTTAGGGACTATAAAAATATATCAATACAATTCTCTCAAAAATCTGCGGTCAATCATTTTTTTTTATCAAACCCCGAAAAAATAGGAAAAATTTTATCCATCCTAATATACTAAATACACATTTTTAAGAACATCATTCTTATTAGATACAATAATTGCTTATATCGATTTTGTATATTTTTTACCATTACAGATTGCCATCTAAGCGTAGAAATTCATAATATATAGATCTGTAACCTTTCCCGCCCAAATAGATTGCCCACTGTACTGGTTTTTTTTTTAAATTCGCAGTAAAAACGATTAGACATTAATAACTGTTGTTTATTCGTGAGATATTTAGATGACTTCCGAAACTACATGTGTGCGTCTAAATACACACTTTGACCGGTCTGCAGTATATATTTAGTGTAACCAAGTACTTTTTTATTTTTGCAGACGAGTAAACGTGACCGGATTTCGAAACGACAACTCGGGTGACGGACATCGAGCTTGTGGCGCCAGTTTAACGGTAGGCACGTACTTTGTGTTATTTGCGGACGTGGCGGACGGCCGTTTGGTCGCCAAAGAAGGGCAAGGGGCGCTGGTCGAGTGGACCGACGACAACGAGAGATCCGTTTGGCGTGGACTAGGTGAGTACACGATGGTGAAATAATATTAATATAGTGTATAATATACTCTAGCGCAAAACAGCGATCAACTGAAAAACAATAAATTCCCACGTAAAAGTTTTGGAATTCACCGGAACTACATTTCAGTGCAGTTTAACCGAGTTTGGATGTCTAGTCCAATACTAGCAGCATGTTCGCGAGTGTTCACCGCACGCATGACTCCTATTAAATAATCGTTAAACGTGCAAAATTACAACAATTTCAACTGCCAACATTGAGTAAATGTAATAAACCTTGTATAAATTAATAAATAAATAAGTGTCAGCCGTTGTTTTACTAAGCGTCGAACACATTGCAACATATTCGCTATTCATGATTATAGATTTAAATGAAAATAGTCTTTGCAAGAATATTTTCCAGTGGATGGAATTATTGGTTATTAATCTTGACAGAAGCGCTCAGAATTTAAAAATTAGTATTCTACTAGGAGACAATATGGCAACGAGCAAATAATTGCAGAGTAACAGGTAAATGATGAGAATTAACAACTACTATGCGTAGAGAATAAAACACCACGTGGATTACAGTGATAGTTAAGTACAAGTCGAAGTAGTCGAAAGGAGCTGCAAGAGACAGAATGAGAAATTTGAAGTAGAAAGTCAACTAAATAACATTAGCTTATGGTTTCTAACATTACGGAGAGTGCAGTTGTAGCATTCACTAGACTTTTTTATGTCGACAGGAAATCCAAAAAAAAAAAAAACCTCTTTGTCCGTTTACACGTTTAAGTATTGACTTAAACGTGAACTTTACCCGTCACCGCATTTGCACGAGGTCGTATCGTTAAGAGGAGGACAATGAACAAAATTTCGACCTTTTAGAAGCTCGCCGACACACTCCTAATCGCCGGACGTAGGTACAAAGCAAAGAAAGAAAAAAAAATAGCACATAACCCTCTTGTGACAATGGCGGCTAGCGTGTGGAAGTAGTAAGAACAAATTGACTCTTATATCTATTAAAAGCTGACGATTTCTGAGAATCTTTTCGAATCTACTTCGAAAGTAATAAAAAACGTTAAACCAACTTTCGAAATTCGCGTTATTTGCTTTTACTTTAGAAATAATAATATACACAGTGGTTGACGTCGCAACACTGTCATCCTGAAGTGACATGCCGCCAACATAAAGTCCCTGTCTGATATATATTATAATACTACAAACGAATCCACCGTGAAACGTCAAAATTTGGCATCGAGTCTGTCTGTTTTACTTGCTGAAGTGTTAGCCGACTTTTCGGAAGCTCGGGTTTATTAATTTTGAAAATAACATGTTTACAAGCGCGAAGTTGTCGGAGACCAAGGCACTAATGTGTGACACCTATGACTGCGCATACAATCCATCCATTGCCCCCATAAAAGGTTAGGTCGACAGCGGTTAATAAATCAAGTCGCAAGATAGATTTATCTTTAAAAAATATCAGAAAAACAAATAATGGGTTTTATTATACAATATACATATTTTAGTTTTAAAAACTCAACTGAAACGATATTGCCTTTTGACATTTATTTGCGTTTACCCAAACTTTATTGTACTTACTAACGGGTCTTTAAAGTTCATTGAAACGCTAATTATGTTTTTTGTGCCTTGCAATAATGAAAAGTTTACCACACTGAAGGACCAATCTCACTTTAATGAATAGTGATTGTATTTCCTTTTAGTGAACAAAATAATAGGAAAAACGTTCCGCCTTTGCTCACTGATCTCAATAGCTTAGAACTTAATGTCTACAGATAATGGGTACATCTTAAGAAGACGTTTAAACAGGAATCTAACTAGCTGCAGGAAATTACAAATGTAGCAAAATTACCAGAAGGCAATAATAGATTAATAGACAGTGTGTTCATGTGAAAATAAATAAGACAATACATACTTCGAAGTCACATTTTATAATAAGTTTATTTCCCAGAAGTCATAGTCAACAGAATTTAATAAAGATGACATTATATTTTATTTCCCTGGTAAGTAACTAGTAGTTATATCAATATAACAATAATAGTACAAATGTCATCAATCCACTAGCCAGAAACTATAATGTATTTATGTATATAATATTATCTTCCAGACAAAAAGGTCATATATTTCCTAAATATTTTCGTGGAAGTGGTTTATTATAAGAAATTTAAAATTACTTATAATATTACTTGCTTTAAGCTCCGACCCGGCCATTTGGGATATCGACCATATGTTCCTCCGTCCTTCATTATCTACTTCATGAAATTCTCTCTATAATTTCATCCGTTCTTTAAGTGTTTCCTTTTAATATTTTTTTTAAATATAAAATATAAAATGTCTACAAAAAGTACAATTTATAGTCGTATTTATTAACAGTACCATTTGGTATTTCCATACTATTTTTTAATTTAATATCAGTTAAGATTATAATAATGTATGTGTATTGTGTACACTAGAAAAGTGTAATTTAAAGTTCAGTTGAATTGATTTTGAATAATGTTTAGATTTATTAATGTTATTGACAAACAAACAAAAGTCAATAAAACTCATAGACCCTTGTCTTGTTTAACACATGACAGACTTCTAAAATAGCAACCAAAAAAAACTTATTTCTGATTTGGTTATTTTGTAATAAATTTCGATTTTTTGTTTTCAAAGTTTAATTTGTTTTGACAGATTTTGCAAGTTATGACACATAAAAGTTGAAAACCGGAAATATTTTGATATTTTTTTTTGATAGTTTTTTTCACAATACAAGGTGTACATATAAAGTAACATGGGTGGACTTTTAGCGCTTTCCAATACCCAAAATACCAGCAATATATTTTTTTTCTTTATCACCAAAGGCACTGAAGGAAAAATTGGTTCTATAAAAAGACACGACATTGTTAAACCTTCGTATTGAATCTAAATGGGATTTTGGAAAAGTAATAAAATGCGCTCGATTAAATTTTCTATTTCGAAAACGGGACTTAGCCAATATAACGGGGTTGTATAACACTGGAAACTTACCGGAGACTGTCGTTTATAAGTTTAAACGTTCTCTGATGTTAAAAAAAAATTCGAACAAACGTTTATTGCATAAGTTTTCAAATATTTTGTTTGCTAAAATGTCTGTAAGCTCGTTAAAATGTTCACGGACCAAACATAATTACTAGGCTAGTTTTGTTTTTTTAAAGTATACAACCTTAAACTGTTATAATATCAATATTTTATTAATTCAAATGGAAGTTTTCAACAAAACGGTGATAACCGTAAATCAGTAAGACAAAAATATATATTCTTTGCTGAGTTTTAAACTTTAAAAGTAATCATTTGAAAACCGATTATGGACTATTTATTTCTCTACGGACGTTCTTTTTTTCCTAAGAAATCGTTTCACCTTTGTTACGTGACAGTCTGGTGTCGCGTCGATCTTAGGTACACTTAATCTGACAATGACGATATGAATATTGTACAAGACTCCGAAAGGGATTACACGGAACCGTCAGTTTGTTAGTCTCTTCTCTCACTCCTTTGGCCGGGGCACCGGCAAAAGCGGTCGTCTTCACTGCCAGCGAAATAACCTTTAGCGCAGGATTGGATTAGAGCCAGAGACAAAACCGACTATGTCTCTCCTAAGTTGGCATAGGCTAAACACCGATTGTGTTTTGACGTTTTCGACAATTTATTGCGAACACTGCAACCGCCTAAAGTCGACGGTGGCTAAAGGAAACAATTGTTACAGGCTACAGTGTTATACACACATATATTGTGTATATATATCTAGGTATATAATATGTGAACACTATAATAAAACGGCATGCTTTTAAAACCATTGCCCAAAATACTTTTTCTCCTCACAAAACATTTTTACGCAGTGGTTTTGTAACTTGCCCCACAAAGTCTAATATAATACAATCATGGTAACGTTGGAAGTTCGTATAAGTCACGATTTCGAAAAAATCACGATACCTAGGCTACCTAAGTATATTTCTTGATTAAAAAACAAACTATAGTCACTTTATCAACAACAACCTTATCCAATCCATTTTGTCCACAAATAAATAGAGATTTATTATGTCCAAATCATCCCAATCTCATTGTCGCTGATTGCTTATGCTATTGGTCCTTCAGCTATCCCCAATCAATTTCTGTCTCTTTTATTATATGGTTTAAACACCATTTTAACACAGTTAACGTGCAAAAAAATTTTTTTTTATTGATCTTAAAATAAAACCCGGCATTTATGGCCATCAGTTTTGCAAAAAATTTAATTTTACTCTATAAGACATTTTTATATTAAACGACATGTTATCTATTCTCAACCAAGCACAGATTGTCTTGGTCTGACAGATATGTTAGCCACACATGCACCTTTACTTATAACTTGAAAGGTAACCCGGGAAGTAATCATTCAAAACTAAATGTCAACCGTCCACATACGGAAGTTAGGTTAGGTAAGGGTTTAAAACTTACCCTTTGAGAAATCACTTTTCAACTCGACCGGTTAACATTTTGTTTTACAATTTTTCTACGAAATTCTTTTTTAGATAATAACATTTTTTAAGAAACAATTACCATATCATAAATTCCTGGAGAGTGAAGACCCTGACCATTTTATTCAAGCTGAGTAGATTTATTTTTTCTCTACAACGATAATACCGGCGTCGATATATGAATAATACTAACAAGAAAAACTTGTAAAAAATGATCATCACTCTTGCGATGCCGGCGACCAGAACGTCATCTCGGGACCGGCTCGGCTCGAAAGTTTGCCGTTTTGTGTACTTCTAATAATAATAATCATAATAACTCTTTTATGGTATCGACGACAAACGTTTTTTTTTTTTTTAGTTACATCATCTTAGCATGTATATTACACGCTTCTTACCGTATGTGCAGACTATAACAATACAACATATTATTATTATATGTAGAAAGCGGTTGGGACACAGCGAAAAGACGTTCGAATTTCGGCTCATACGACGGCAGTGAAGGCGGGAAAAAAAAATAAAGCTTTTTGCCGTT